CCCCCCCCCCCCCCCCCCCCCCCCCAGCATTTTCCCCTCTGTCCTGCAGACTGTATTTCCAAGATCCTCCTCTTTTTTGAGCTCTTTTTTTTTTCCTGGTCCTACACTAACTGTCAGAAGAGCCTGTAGGTAATTAGGTGGCCACAGACAGAATTTATCACTCCCCTCTTCCAAGATGCAGATCTTAAAGTGCTTTCTTGCATTGGGTTAACATGATCAAATGTTACTTCTGTCCTGCCATCCATGTCCTATAGTGATAATTACCATGATCAGATCCCAGAAAAATATGTTCTGATACAATTTAACTGCCCTGCATGTCATATTTGGCACTTGAAATGCCATTTCTTTGGCTTTTGATGTGAAGGTTCAACTTCTGATCTGTAACTCTTTTGTCTTTTGCCTGTGGCTTGAATCTCCTCTTCCAGAGGCAGAGCACCTTCATGGGGGATTCTTTTTTTTTCTTTTTTTATGGTATATGTACTTCATAAAGTAGTAGAGGAAATTCAGTCAAAAACTATTTCTGCTTGCTGCCCCCCACCCCCCTGCTGCCAAACAAACAAACCTGAAGGCAGTCTAACTGTCTGCTGCTCATCAAAAACAGTCTTTTGGTCCTTGTGGTCCAAAAGGCTGAGTTACTGTGATATATATGTACTTTAACACCTGTCTAATTTCTCAATGTACTGGCTTTCTTGGCAGCTCCTTGTTCAGCTATGGCTTATCATCATGACAGTAGACGAATATTTGTAGGTCAGGATAATGGAGCTATTATGGTAAGTTACTGCAGCAGTTTCTCTAAAGAATTCCAGTTAAATGTAAACCTTATCAAGCTGCCTGCTGGAAAATTGTAGATTTTAGTAGACTGAGTGCAACACAAATGGAGTTAGTTATAGCTGGTCCTTTATTTTGTAATTGGAATAACTGAAAACTATATTTGAGGCTTCTTTTGAACACTGTTTCCTTGCTGCTGATTATCCTTGCTTGTAGTGTAGATGTCTGTAGAACTAGGTTTTTCAGCTCTAAGGGGAGGGTTAACTCTGCACACCTTGCATCCTTTCTTTGTGTAGGCCCTGTTCTTCTTTCTTTGCCTTTCATGTGTGTATGTAGGTGGGAAGTCCTAATCCTGACTAAACTTCAAAATAATTGAGACTGGAAACTTCTTTTCTAGGAGGAACTGGTATATGGTGTACTGGATGAATGTATGCCTGAAGTATTAGAAAACATTTTTACATTTTAAACAGCTAAAGTTAGCTAGTTAATGTATCTCTTACTTGGGCAAAACCTGAGGAGGATGCTTGAAAATAGTAGTGTGCCATTGCAGGGTGGGGTAGGGTAGAAAGGAGTGGCTGTTTATGCCTGCTCAGAATGATCACTTTTACTTTCCCTCTGCTCGCTCTCTCTCTCCTCACTTGCTCACTTCCTCCCCAGTAGGCTTTTTGTGACTTTTTTTTTTTTTTCCAGCCAAGGATGTATAATCTGTCTAGGCAGATGATAGTAGTAAATCTTTTTACCTTAATCTGCAGTCCATATGCTAATAGAGCATCTGCTAGTTTTTGGGGCTTCTGAAACCTTATGAATTTGTAGCACAAGATGTTTTCTGCCTCTGGTTACTAGCCTGTTCATTCTGTGAGGTTATTGCTTTGCGTTCTTTGCCTTGTTTTGGTCTTGGTATGAAGGATCTTCAAACAGGCTGTTTTGCATCAGCTTAAGTTCATGTACCCTTCTGCTATCTAACTCCCCCCCCCCCTTTTTTTTTAGGAGTTTCATATCTCGGAAGACTTTAATAAGATGAATTTTGTCAAGACCTACCCAGGTAACATAGTGTGGTTCTACAAATATATTTCCTTCCCAGAGAATTTTAAGTTTCAGACCTGAATGTGAGAAAATGGAATAGTCTGACATGCAGTCTGAGTAGTTTTTGGGTGGGATGTGATTACTGTTTTTGTTTTAAGTGCAGCTTGTGGGGTGTTGTACAATTGGAAACTATCTATCATCAAAAAGTTGAGTTGAAGTATCAAATCAAAATCCCATACAGGTGTAATCTGCAAAACACTGAAGGTTTTAGTTCTGACTTTCTGTTCAGATGTAATAATATGTCCCTAGATACTTAAATCTGTGGATAACTAATTTATTTAGGGGCCAGTGGAGGTAGCAGAAACTGACTTGAATACATCTTAAAGAAGACTACATAGACTCTCAAAATAGCAGTTGGTGTATATGCTAATAAGGGGAAGACTTGTATGCAGGTGATAATTAAACAAGGATACCTTCTGACACATCGGAGCTTAAGTGACTTAAGAGCCAAGAAAGTTTCCCCACTTGGGTTCTAGCATTAGCTTCACTAACAGAGACCCAATGTGGGTGAAATATCTTCCTTCCAAGCATTTAGTACTACTTATAAAGAACACTTGACCAAAGTCAGTTGGTTAAGTTGCTAGTATTCAAGTCTACTTCTCTTTCCCCTGCATATTTCTGGCCTTTAGCATAAAGTCGTCTGTAGGCCTTTGAGGTAATAATCAATTGGTCTTATGACTTTCTGACATAATGTTCTTGCCTAAAATAAAGACCTCTCTTTCTTAAAAGCAACAAAAGCTCTTTTATCATAAAGCAGATGATTTTATGTTTAATCAAGAAAAAATGCAGGGGAAGGTGCCTTTTACTCTTCAACTTTTTGCATTTAAGTTGCTTTTTTGCAGCATTCTACATAATGCTGAACTACCTAATTCACTGGGGATCAGCTACCAGTCTGTCCTGACTGGAAGGGGTCTTTCGTTTTGTGGGAGATGACTAAATGAGAGTTATCTTGGATTTAAACCGTTCACCTCTCTATCTTCTATTTGACTAGCTAAACAGAATGGGCTTCTCCACCCTCCAAAGAGCTATTTTCCCCGGCAGTTGAATAATTTTTAGACTCTTCTCCAGTTTTCAGCATTTGGCTGGTTGGAACCAGGTCATAACCTGGATGTATGGC